GAACTCCTGAATACCCAAGCATCCCTGAAACCCAGGACATCATGTAGTTATCTTACCGTTTTATTATTATTCTGTTTTACTTTTAATGCATTTGTTCGCAACAGCAACTCCAAAATTAATCAATAATGTACAAGTAATAAGTATTATTTATGTTTTGTCTGATCTCGTACTTATAGGTATCAGTTAAGATCTTTTAATATTGTAAACAAACATGTGTTTAAAAATTAAATAAATGGATTGCGTAAATAGCAAAATCGTCTAGCTATTGTGTGGGGCAATGAAAAGCTCTTTTATTACTCGTACAAGAAGCTTTCGGGATGCCTCCCATGGGAGTACTCACTTATTGCTCGTTTGGGAGGAATATAGGATGTTTTTCTATGTGCACTCCCTTGTTGTCTTTTTGGGAGGTATAGGGGAGGTTTTTATGGGAGGTATAGGGGAGGTTTTTATGGGAGTACTCCCGTATTGCTCCTTTAGGAGGTTTGTGGGATCATATTTCTGTGTGTGCTCCCCGATTGCTCGATTAGGAGGTAAATGGGATTACTCCCCTTCCTAGGACATACAATGTTAAAGGGAGTATACGAAATTACATGCTTATACACAGAAGCATAGGGAGCAATGGGGAGTATTCGTATACTCCCCAGGGAGTACTCACCGAGCATCCGTACGATGCTCCCAAGTTCTACTGGGAAATAAATAACAAAAATTTAAACTTAAAATTTTACACACAAACTCACACACACATTCTCATTTTCAATCTCAAACAGCAACAACTTCGAACAATTCATTTCTTTTACTATCAATTTTATATGATTTGAAAATGTTGGCTAACTTCAAAAAAAAAATCATGGCCGACGAATTGAGAGAACGGTTTTACCTCACTATGTTTTTATCATGGTTTCACTTCTACCGGGTGTGCACCAGACCAAGGTGTATTAAACAAGGTGTGATTGACAATTCAGTGCAGCTCTCTTTTAAGGTACTATAATGTCAAAAGGTATAAACAAACGAATTAACCCTTAGTATGCATGTATCTTATCAGCACTGATGCCCTAGGCTTTTATTTCGATTATAGTTTTGTTTTACTTACATTACCTGGAATATATATATTTCGTCAATAAAAGTTTTAGCAATTTTCTTGTTTTTAATTGCCCAAGTTTTATGCTTTTGCGCGTTTATTTTTATATTTAATTTTTTATCCTAAACATTATTCGACACTTATAAAAGTAGGATTTTACATTTGTTTCCAATTTTATATGTGAGCTTAACTCTAACAATTTTGAAATTAAATTTTTTTTTATGCGAAATAGTTTTACATTAAAGACTTTGCTTCGAGCAGCTTTAAATTAAGCTCTTCCATACTTGCTTGCATGGTTTTAATTATTTCGGTAAGAGGAAATACTTCTGTTCTCAACGCGCATTCTAAAGAGTCGCCTGTTTGAGTTTGGACATCAACAAAGAATGTATCCTGATCGCGTACTAAATCCTCACTTGTATCAGTTATTTCGTATGGCATTGGGACTGCGCATGGGTATCAACGAGCTCGTTGGAAAGTGTTTGATCTAGACATCACTTTCCTTGAAGTGGTACAACACCACAGCTTTCTTCCCATCGCTGCCGTCTTAATTCGCAACTAGGTGGTTTAAAACATCGCACTGTTTTCGTGTCCTGACTTTTATTGCATTCAGCGCACCGTTCAAACGTTTTGCTCCGTTTCATCTTGGTTTCCTTACATTAAATATTTAAGAAAAGTCGAACGTATTTACTTATTACCCAACTTTAAATGTACTTACTAGCTCTCCTCGGCGGTTTATCTCTTAAAAATTTCCCGTTTATTAAGAAAATTTGTTGCTTGAAAAATTTGTGTAACTTTTTTTTTGAACAAATTAAAATTTGAAAAAAAAAATTCGAATGGGTTAAGAATTCATTTCAGTTTGACATTATAGCCTGTTTCTTAAGAGAGCAATGTCAAAATCAATCACACTTTGTTGAATACATTTTGCACCGAACACATGTTTTTTATGTTTGTTTGAAGGTTTGGAATAAACTTTTTGGTTTACTTATTATTTAGAACGTTCCTGATGATATGTTAACGTATATTTCAAACGCATTCTGTTTATTCTGGCTGTGAAATGGGATTATCTGGAATGTATAAAGAAACGCAGCCATAGTAAATTTTGTATTTATAATAAAGCGTGAACTCTTGTCTACATGTGTGTGTAAACGGTTTTTGATTCGCAGGACGCGTTTGGGAGCAGCAACCCAAAATCGTTGTACAAATAATTAAACAGTACCCGCAAAAAGTTTAATTTAATGTGCGAATGCAATGTACGGTGTATTCGCGAATTCTTCCAGCAGAAAACTATCAACAGCAAAATTCTAACTAATTCTTATCTGTTTTCTCGCAAAGAGGGAAATGTAAGCAAAAGTACGCGAACGCAATCCTAGCAAAAACTTGCAATTTTTTAGTACAGCTGATCGAAATTTTGTTTACATACAAAAGCATAAAACAGAAAACACGAAAAGAATATAAATTAAAAGTTTTCCTAAAGCGATTTGCTAAGCAAACATGTGTAAATGAATATTTGCTTTCTTCCGATACATTTGCATTCTAATAAGTTATTCCAATCTGAAAAATCGTAATAATAAATGTTAATCTAAATCTAAATCTAAAACAAATTTCCATATTTCCATAAATTGAAAACAGGGGCCTGTTCAAGTCACGTAATAAAAGCGGCATTTCTGCCGTACTGATAAAAGATGGCAACATTGTTGCAACTGTCCAACTGATAATACATTGCTAGAAATTCACACAGATCGTGATAATCTGCCTTATCCTGAGTTTCGCCTGAAAGAAAATTCGCCCGAAAATTTTGTCACCCGCCCATAGCAAAACCATGGCAACCAAACGAGAAAAGTAAACCGGTGCGGGGAAAATTTAACTCATGATAAGGCTGATTAAAATTTTTTTTGTTATACTTTTTCTAGAGGATGCTTTAGGTAGACCTCATCTATACCAAAAGTTTCATTAGTTATTCTACTGGTTTCCAGTGCGGCTGCATACTAAAGCCAACCCGTGAACTGTCGAAAGCACTTCCTACTTGGTGGAATATGCTTTGCGTAAAACCTTGCAAATTCTGACAAAAACCTAATTTACACTCTCATTTCCCAGAAGCGAGTACGGGTACGCTTTCTGTTCAGGTCTGGCAAAAACTTGCAACTTTTGACGAGTTGGTGAACGCAACCTCGATTTGATTTTGTTTTGAGCACCTTATGTCTTGCTGAGATGTATGTACATATTAGGGTTGCCAGATTTTGAAACGGAGAAAGTACAATTATATTTTCGATAGAAAAAAAGCAGTACAAGACCTAAAAAAGGAGTAAATTTTTTTTAAAATTTTTTGTGCAATTTATTGTTACAACTTACCATTAATTAGGTACAAATAAACAAGAATATTTTAGAAATCTTTTTCAAAGCAACCATAAATGTTAAAAATAAATAACTTAATGAGTTGGCTTTCCAATAAGGGCGGTCGTTAAAGAGATGGTGATCAAAGGGGGAGTGGGCGTGGCACCCAATTGTGATATTTGGCGATTTTTCTAAGGCGTCCCTAGGGACCCATAGGGGGCCTAGGTGGTCGGGGGTGCCACGCCCACTCCCCCTTCGCTCACCACCTCTTCAATGACCGCCCTTATAGGAAATTTTCCCCAACTAAATTCTACAAAAGAATTCCAAACTCTTTCTGAATATATGGCAAGTTTTTTAATTTAAGCCTTATAATTAATTTAATATTTTTCTGATTGCACCTACCTTGCTACGACCATGCCTACAACTTTTCACTATCACAGTTAACTTTGCTTACTAAGTAGTGTTTGCTACAATATGAATGGCAAAGTACAGGGCGTAAGATAATAACTGTCGCATAGGTTTTTTGAAAAATAAAAGGGTCCTATATAGATGTTGCTAAAAAGAGTATTTTTTTGTTAACTTTGTAAATACTTTACATTAATTTTATTAATTAGTTTTAAAATTTTAATCCTTATTTGCATTGCCAACTTTGGGAGATAAGTTCATGCGGCACTCACGTCGTTTGCAGGTGTACTTTTTCTTAGTCTTTTCGATTGCTGAGTATGAGGCCTTATGTTGGACAAAAGACGGAGTATAAAGGACCCAAATGGGGGAAATTAGCCTATATTTGCAGAAGATATGCAATAAAGTAACAGACGAAGACTTGCGTGCCGCTTGCGCTTTTCTCCCGAACCCACTGGTAAACCCAAATGTAGGTTAAAATTTAAAAACGAATTAATAAAATGTTCGCAAAATCTATAAAGGTCCCTTTTATTAAAAACATAAAAAAAAAATGTCCGATAGTTTTTATTTTACACCCAGCATATGATAAAATATTAATAGCTGGAAAAAGGAGAACAAAAGAATAACAAAAGAAGTACAAAACTAATAAAGGAGTACATTTCCATATATTCTTTTCTTTGGGAGTACAAGGGAGTACATTGCAATAAAAAGGAGTACGTGTACTCCCAAAAGCAGAACGTCTGGCAACCCTAGTACATATGGCCGTACATAAATGCACAGTATACATAATAGGGAATTTACATGATTCAACTTTCACAGGCGATTAGTTGAACAAAAAGTTGACGACAGTCGGGCCTACGTAACCGGAACGACCCAGATTTATATCTGGCCAAGGACTGTCACTCCAGCAACACTCCCCAAAAAGTCTTTGGGGAATTTGTANCACGACAGTCGGGTCTACGTAACCGGAACGACCCAGATTTATATCTGGCCAAGGACTGTCACTCCAGCAACACTCCCCAAAAAGTCTTTGGGGAATTTGTATGCTGCTACAACAACAACAACAACAAAAAGTTGAATGAAAGTAGGCAGCCGACCAACTTCATTGAAAGCGATTAGTTGAAAAGCCCTTTACACCAGGCGATTGTTGCATTCAACTAAAAATCGCCTGAAAAATCGCCTCATGTAAATTCCCTATAAATGTATTATTCAGCAATCGTAATTTACCTCAACAACGATGTAATCGGTACAAATGTCCGAATGCGCATTGCCCCGTAAATTTGCATCTTCCACCAAATCCTCGAGGCTTTTGGATTTTTCATCATTGCGCTTTTGCTTATATGCTTCACGTCGACGTATGCGCTCCTCCTCTTGCCTCTTTTGGGCTTCCACAACTTCCTTCAAGATATCCTCTTTAAATGGACAAATATTTGGTACTTGAATTAGTTTTTGTTTTTTGTTTCCCTTCTTAGATTTCTTTTCTTCTCGACGAATTTTTCGATTATGTTCACGCACTTTCTTTTCAATCTTATGTTTTAAACATCCAGACAGCCTTTTGGACTTTCTGGCTGAAATGAAGAATAATACATGTAGTAAATATTTTAAATATAAATTCAATTTACAAACTCTTCAATCTCTTTAACGCCATTGTTAAAATTTCAAGAAATCTTTAAAAACAATAGATCCGGAACCTTAAAAGCAATAAACCCACGTGAAACTAGTAATTTCAATATCGTATCGATTATTCTGAAGATCGATATATCATGGGGCATATATGTATGCAGTTGGGCTCCAAGTCTCATATTAAAAAAAAAATGGTGGAATCGATAGACATGATTGAGCTGAGTATACCGGTATACTTTTTTTTTTGGGCAAACCACAACAACAAAAATTATCAAAGGTTAAATTCAAAANATAAACCCACGTGAAACTAGTAATTTCAATATCGTATCGATTATTCTGAAGATCGATATATCATGGGGCATATATGTATGCAGTTGGGCTCCAAGTCTCATATTAAAAAAAAAATGGTGGAATCGATAGACATGATTGAGCTGAGTATACCGGTATACTTTTTTTTTTGGGCAAACCACAACAACAAAAATTATCAAAGGTTAAATTCAAAATAAGCAATTTTTGCAATCAAGATTTCTTAAAAACGGATAGATGGATCTTAAAAATTTTGATCTCATTTAATAGTAAATTTGATTCCCTTTAATTTGCTATACGTACTTTTTTAGGATAAACTCCTTCAAACACCTTTGGTCATTCGTTAATCCCAACACCGCCGGCTGGATATGTGCGCTTTCGTCGTCCGACATTATTAAAAATTACCACTGCCAAATAAATAATTAATCCAATAATTAACGTTTCGCCTTTAATATTTCAATCTCCACTTTATTTTGAAATACACACGTATTGACGTATCGCGAACGAAATATGCTACACGTTCAATATTTATTGACAGTACTGCGATCCGCGATCCAGATTTCAAAATTTCTAGAAATTTTGCGATATGGATCACGATCCATCAATATTGCATGCTACACAGTCAATAAATATCGCGATACTTGGATCACGTCAATAAATATTGATCGTGAGACATGGCCCATTGAGCTGAGTAAAACCATGATAAAAATATAGTAAGGTAGAACCGCTGAGAGTCACTTTTAAAATTCTTGACGTTTCCAAACAATTTAATTTTTAAATTTACTCACAAACTCACACACACATTTTCATTTTCAATCTCAAGCAACAACAATTTCGAACAATTTCAATTTTTTATTTTCACTTTTATATGATTTTAAAATGTTGGCAAACTTCAAAAAAAAATCATGGCGGACAAATTGAGAGAACGGTTCTGCCTTGCTATGTTTTTATCATGAGTATAACGATATACTTCTTTTTTTGGGCAAACAACAACAAGAATTATCAAAGGTTAAATTTCAAAATAAGCAATTCTTGAAATCAAGATTTCTCCAAAACGAATGAATGGATTTTAAAAATTTTGATCTCATTTAATAGCAAATTTGATTCCCTTTAATGTGCTATACGTACTTTATATATATGTTATAGTTCTTACAAAAATTGAATTAATGTAAAATAATTATAAAAAAAAAACTTAAAAACCATAAGTGCGGCCGACGCCGCCTACGCAGAGAGATGTTCTCTGCAAAAGGTGTTCTGTGCCTTTTCTTCGCAACACAGAAAGATAATTCCAAGTTGTGAGGGTTATAACCCCTAAGTGCGGCCGCAGGCCGCCTACGCAGAAAGGAAGGAACAAACGCAGGTTGGCTCCAAATCTCAAAAAAAAAATATTGGAATCGATAGAGATGATTGAGCTGAGTATACCGGTATACTTCTTTTTTTGGGCAAACAACAACAACAAAAATTATCGAAGGTTAAAATTCAAAATAAGCAATTTTTTTAATCAAGATTTCTTAAAACGGATGGATGGATCTTAAAAATTTTGATCTCATTTAATAGGAAATTTGATTCCCTTTAATTTGGTCTATGTTGCAAAATAAAATGGGCTGATCACCTTTTGCAGAGAACGCCTTTCTGCGAAGGCGGCCTTCGGCCGCGCGTAGGGATTATAACCCTCACAACATAGAATTCTCCTTTCTGTGTTGCCAAAGATAAGGGGCAGAACACTTTTTGCAGAGAACACCTTTTTGCGTAGGCGGCCTTCGGCCGCGCTTAAGGATTATAACCCTCACTACGTAGAATTCTTCTCTCTGTGTTGCCAAAGAAAAGGGGCAGAACACCTTTTGCAGAGAACACCTTTTTGGGTAGGCGGCCTTCGGCTGCGCTTAGGCCGTATAACCCTCATTAAGTAGAATTATTATTCCTGTGTTGCCAAAGAAAAGGGGCAGAACACCTTTTGCAGAGAACACCTTTTTGCGTAGGCGGCCTTCGGCCGCGCTTAGGCAGTATAAGCCTCATTCTTCTTCTTCTTCTTTTTTGGCGCCGTAACCGCCTAAGCGATTTTGGCCGAGTTCAGCAAAGCACGCCAGTCGTTTCTCCTCTGTGCCAACTGACGCCAATTGGAAACGCCAAGTGAAGCCAATTCCTTCTCCACCTGATCTTTCCATCGCAGTGGGGGCCTCCCTCTTCCTCTGCTACCACCAGCGGATTCCGAGTTGAATACTTTCAGAGCTGGAGCGTCGGTGTCCATTAGAACGACATGACCAAGGCAGCGGAGCCGCTGTATTTTAATTCGCTGCACTATGTCCATATCGTTGTAAAGCTCATACAGCTCATCGTTCCATCGTCTGCGGTACTCGCCGTCGCCAACGCGTAAAGGCCCGTAAATCTTCCGCAAAATCTTTCTCTCAAACACTCCAAGAGCCGTCTCATCGGATGTTGTCATTGTCCATGCTTCTGCGCCATATACCAGCACGGGCATGATGAGTGACTTATAGAGCGTGGTTTTCGTACGTCGAGAGAGGACTTTACTCCTGAATTGCCTACTCAGTCCAAAGTAGCACTTGTTGGCAAGAGTGATTCTACGTTGGATTTCAATGCTGACATTATTATCGGTGTTAATGCTGGTTCCCAAGTAAACGAAATTCTCTACTTTCTCGAAATTGTAACTGTCAACAGTGACGTGGGTGCCAAGGCGCGAATGTGCTGACTGTTTGTTTGATGACAGGAGATACTTCGTCTTGTCCTCGTTTACCACCAGACCCATTCGCTTTGCTTCCTTATCCAACTTGGAAAAGGCAGAACAGACTTCGCGGTTTTTGTTACCGATGATGTCGATGTCATCGGCATAAGCCAGCAATTGCACGCTCTTGTAGTAAATTGTTCCTGAGCGGTTCAGTTCTGCAGCTCTTATTATCTTCTCCAACATCAGATTAAAGAAGTCACATGAAAGGGAGTCGCCCTGTCTGAAACCCCGTTTTGTGGCGAACGGCTCGGAGAGGTCTTTTCCAATTCTGACGGAGCTGGTGGTATTGCTCAACGTCATTTTACACAGCCGTATGAGTTTTGAGGGGATGCCAAATTCAGACATAGCGGCGTATAGGCAACTCCTTTTAGTGCTGTCAAAAGCGGCTTTAAAGTCGACAAATAGGTGGTGAGTGTCGATCCTTTTCTCGCGGGTCTTTTCCAAGATTTGGCGTATTGTGAATACCTGGTCTATGGTGGATTTGCCAGGTCTAAAGCCACACTGATAAGGCCCAATCAGTTCATTGACGGTGGGCTTCAGTCTTTCACACAATACGCTCGATAAGACCTTGTAACCTATGCTTAGAAGGCTGATCCCGCGGTAGTTGGCGCGAATGGCGGGGTCACCTTTCTTGTGGATTGGGCAGAGCACACTTAAATTCCAGTCGTCGGGCATGCGTTCATCTGACCATATTCTGCACAAGAGTTGATGCATGCACCTTATCAACTCCTCGCCGCCGTACTTGAATAGCTCAGCTGGCAGGCTGTCAGCTCCAGCGGCTTTGTTGTTTTTCAGCCGCGTTATTGCTATACGTACCTCGTCATAGTCAGGCGGTGGAACGTCGACTCCGTCATCATCGACTGCGGGCTCGGATTCTTCTTCTCCACAACTTTCCGTGCTGCTACCATTTAGTAGGGCGGAAAAGTGTTCCCTCCATAATTTAAGTACGCTCTGGACATCAGTTACTAGGTCGCCATTATTGTTCTTACAGGAGTGCGCCCCGGTCTTTAAACCTTCCGTAAGTCGCCTAACTCTCTGGTAAAATTTTCGGGCATTCCTCCTGTCGGCCAGCATTTCAAGCTCTTCGCACTCACGTATTTCTGCCTCTCTCTTCTTGTTGCGGCAAATACGTCTCGCTTCCCTCTTCAGATCCCTATAGCGGTCCCACATAGCGCGCGTTGCGCCCGATCGCAGCGTGGCCCTGTAGGCGGCATCTTTTTTCTCTGCAGCTTCCTGACACTCCTCATCGTACCAGTTGTTCTTTCGGGCTCGCTGAAATCCGACTACTTCTTCGGCGGCGGTACTTAATGAGCGGGAAATGTGGTTCCACTGCTCGCATATGTCGGTTTGTTGAAGAGTGCTCTCTGAGAGCAGGTGTGAGAGTCGAGTAGCGAAAGCGCTGGCTGTCTGTTGTGATTGCAGCTTTTCGACGTTAAGCTTTCCTTGCATATTTGGGCGCACATTTTTTGCTGCACAGAGGCGGGTGCGTATCTTGGCTGCAACAAGATAGTGGTCCGAGTCGATGTTTGGGCCTCGGAGTGTGCGTACGTCTAAAACACTGGAAGCGTGCCTTCCGTCTATCACAACATGATCGATTTGGTTTCTCGTTTTTCGATCCGGAGACAGCCAGGTAGCTTGATGGATCTTTTTATGCTTGAACCTAGTACTGCATACTACCATGTTTCGGGCCCCGGCGAAGTCGATCAGCCTCAATCCGTTGTCGGACGTTTCGTCGTGGAGGCTGAATTTTCCGACGGTGGTTCCAAAGATCCCTTCCTTGCCCACCCTGGCATTGAAGTCGCCAAGCACGATTTTGATATCATGACGGGGGCAGCGCTCGTACGTGCGCTCCAAGCGCTCATAGAAGAGATCCTTGGATGCCTCATCCTTCTCTTCCGTCGGGGCATGGGCGCAGATGAGCGAGATGTTGAAGAATCTCGCTTTGATGCGGATTGTGGCTAGACGCTCGTCCACCGGGGTGAACGACAGTACTCGGCGACGGAGTCTCTCTCCCACCACAAATCCAACTCCGAATTTGCGCTCCTTTACATGGCAGCTGTAGTAGACGTCGCAAGGCCCCAGACATTGT